AATAATAATAATAAAGGGAGAAATGTGGGATCCACAAATAAATCAAGTATAAAAATAAAAAAATTAAAAAAAAACAAAAACCCAAAAAACAAACATGAGTATAGACTGATGGTTGCCAGAGGTAGGTGAAATGAGAAAAGCAGGTCAAAAGGTATGAACTTTTAGTTTTAAATAAATATGACAGGGATGTAATGTACAGCATGGGGGACTCTAGTTAATAATGCATTGTACATTTGAAAGTTTATTTGTATATTTGCTAAGAGAAACCTTAAAAAATCTCATCACAAGAAAAGCATTTTTGTAACTATGTATGGTGACGGAGGTTAACTAGACTTACTGTGATCATTTTGCAGTATATACAAATATTAAATCATGGTGTACACCTGAAACCAATCTAATGTTACATGTCAATTCTATCAATTTAAAAAAATAATTAACTGTAATCATAAATTTTTAACCGCTTACCATACTTCTTCAATGAGAGCACAGTATGGATTAATGCTTTTTCCATTCTGCTTAAATTTTTGTTCTCCAAGATGTAAAATATTTTCTAGTCCATTTAAAGCAACTTGGGACTATTTTTGAATTCATAGCAGTCAACAGGTTACAAAGTAGTTCAATGCAACCTAAGGCTACCAAATACCTTCAGAATAATTAAAATGAGAAAAGTGGTTAAAAATTTTTAAAAAAGACTTATATTGTATTTGTTTTTACAATTTTTAATTAATATATTATTGATATACATTCTTATGAAGGTTTCACATGAAAAACAATGTGGTTACTACATTCACCCATATTATCGAGTTCCCCCCATACCCCATTGCAGTCACTGTCCATCAGTGCAGTAAGATGCCACAGAAAAGACTTACATATTATTTATATTGATGACATGAAAAGATTCTTCAGTGAAATGTTATATAAACCATTATTCCTATACAAACTCAAACATTAAAAACATTTAAATTTTCACTTACATAGTAGGAACCTGAAAATTATCTTTACTCTTATAATTTAGCATAATTAGCAATAAATGGTATTGCAAATATTACAAAAATGTTTTTCTTTTTCTTTTTAAAGGTGAGACTGTGCACACACATGGGGATTGTATGGAGTTAGGTAGAGCTGGAGAGGAAGAAAGGACACCTAAATCAAACTTCAGGAAAATTCCCACAAACACATAGATAGTATTTTGAAATATCTTGTGTTTCAGAAGCATAGAAGGCTTCTAGGAGAAAAACAGGCCACGTTGTGAATAGTTTTAATAAATAATGTTCACAAAATTTTCTCCACTTATTTCTTAATGCTTTGTCCTTTTCTAGTTGTTGTTAGTTCTTTTTCCATTCTCTATAATATAAAGTAACTGCTTTGTTCACTTGGCAAAAAGTCTGTATTACCCATTGAAATAAAACACATGTTCTGAAGCCAGAATGCATGGCTCAATGTCCCAATTCCATTCCTTATTAGTTGTATGACTGGGTAAGTGCTCTGTGCCTCAGCTTTCCCATTCTAAAATGGGGACAATAATAGCACCAAGCTCAGAGGGCTGCTGTGAGAACACAGCAGTCATTCAATAAAAGTTAGTTTCCATACCTTTTTTTTTTAAAGTATACACTTTCCCTGGAGCACTTACTTGCCATGTACTACTGTACTATAATTGACCAACTTATTACATGAATAACTATCTCAAACAGTTATGAAGGTAAAGGAGAGAAAAAGCATGAAAGTAGCTGATACACTGCTCTTGCTCAATAACTGAAATGTCTTAGCAGGCTGTCAAGAACTGGTAGACATTAGATATTCAACAAATATTACTGGTGTGCATGCTGACACTAGTCTGAGATCAAGACATCTTCCCATATATGCAGAATTAATGAAATAGTGAAAATGGTCAGAAATATAATGATCTCAGTTTGGATATTTGACTCATACTAATAAATTTAAGCAATAATATATGGAGTAAACACATGAAGAAAATAATTTGAAAAAACACAACTATTTGCAGGTGAACAAATAAGCTTTGGGACCCAAAGCAAATAAAAATAACATCAGCATTTTAAAAAATTAGTTAAAATAAAGGAAAGATCTTATTACTGCTTGTATTCATGACAAAAATAAAATGGAAATATTGACTAAAGCAAGGAGACATAGTGGAAAATAAAACGCAGAGACAGATATTATCAATATATAGAGATATGAATCTGACAGACCAAGATAATAGTAAAACTGAAAGGTATCTTCTAAGTGGCTGGTACAATAGCATCATAGTCTAACTTATTTTATAAATTGAGAAGTGTATCAAACACTCATTTGAAAATACTTCCCAGTCACTTCAAGAAACCAAAAAAGTTCTGAGTTTCATGGAGGAATCTGCACAACAGTAAGATTTTAGAGGGAGCCAGGTTTTTATGTAAGTGCAAAGTGGCTTTGCCATGGGGGAAAAGAGACTTAGGAATCAGTAATGGTAATAAAAATAATGATTACAAATAATGATAATAGCAGACAATCTTAGTAGAGTATGTAATGTTTAGAAACCACTAAGCACTTTAAATGTATGAATTGCAATTGTCAAGACACTACCAACAGGTATTATCCATTATTGAGTCCATTTAGAAAATGAAGAAACTAAGGATTGGAGAGGTTGAATAATTTTGTCAAGGTAACACAATTTTCACTGAGGGAGTGCAATCTGAAAGCAGGCTAACTTCAAAGCCCATGTACCTATTATTTATGTTGTTAGTGAAATAAATAAGTAAATAAACAATAAAAGGCCTGGAGTCAAAAAGCTATCATAAAGAAAAAAACAGAAAAACTAGTATAGAAGAATAAAAGATACCATCCACAGGTAAGGCCTAACAACCATTTTGAAGAACATTACTATACACATGCAAGTCTACTCAAATTTTATTTTAAATGAGTGGATATTCAAATTGATGAGCCATCTATATAATAAAATTCCATGAATGTGGTTTTAATGGTCTAAAGAGTATTTAGTGCCCATGGCATGGTAGCATATTTTGCAAATTAATGTCAATCATTCTTTTTCAGATTTTTAAAAATCCTGATTTTCATAAATAGTCTGCCAAGGACAATGATGCTAATCATACTTTAAATGAAAAAAATAAACCACTATGAATGAATAAGTGATATAATAAACACTATCATTTCACATTAGATATGCTTATTAAACTGACTTAAAAATAATATTCTAGTTTCATCAGCTAATAAAAAGTATGTATTATTTCAAATTTTGTTTCATTTATATTTAAAAAGCAATTAAAAAATATGTATCACACCTTATGTGTTCTGGAGTGTCTCTGTATACCACGTAAGTTACAGCCAAAGCTGATTTTTTTATTGTGTGAAACTCTGCTTTCTGCAGAATCTCAGTCAAAAGAGGAAAAATATTTGCATCTGTAGCAGCCTGAGGAAGAAAAATGATATAGCATAATCAGTGGAAATATTATTTAAAAACTATTAGTAAATAGAGAAATCTTGAAATCCAATGGCTTTAAAATATCAGCCTTTTTGGAAATACCTTTGGAAATATTTTATTTCTAGTCTTTCAACAAATTTTCACATACTTTCCTTTTAAGACTGGAGAATATATTAAAGGAATATACATTTTAAAAATAAGAGAGCACAAGGCAGATGGTTGATCAAAATGGATAATCAATCATTTATTCAAGGAGTTGGACAGGACCCTAATAAATCATTATTTAAAAGCTTTCAGAGGAGGATTATTGCCTACTTTAAAACTAATGAAATTGATCTCTTTTAAAGACTAATAATCATATTTTTCAGGCACTGTACTGGGCAATTATATATATGTAATTGCTATTCCTCACTAGAGTACTGTAAGTAAATATTATTTTAGAGGAGGAAAGGCCATATTCTTTAAAATTCTTCTCAAGAGTCTTTTAAGAATTTTCTTTAGTAACTCACTAAAAAAAAAATCACTGATAAAATGCTGATTTATGTCCACACTGACTTCTGAGATCTTTCTGTTTTCTCATTTCTGAAGGGTATTTACTTGACTCTGAGCTCTATTTCCAGCGGTAATGTTAGAAACAGTCCAGCAGGGTTCTCTTCTGACTGATTCGTTTGGGCTACTGAGAAGTGTAAGAGACAGGGGTAATGCAGAGCAATTCAAACTTACCTAAAACAAAAGTTAGAAATGGAAACAAAACTTTATAGCAAAAAAAACTATATAAAAATATGCTAATGAATTATTCAGAAATACTAAAACCATTCTGAAAACAAATTAAGAAAAAAGAAATACCTCTCAAAGTAAAACAGGTACTTGCTGTTTTCCCTCACTCCCACTTTGCCAAAACTTGCTAATGTTGGTGTAAAGTGCTCTGTATTCAACCCACTAAAATGCAACAAAGCAGGAAACTCAGAGATATGTCTTTCAAGTTTACAAATACACTCAAGACTTCAAATGATGTAACTATTTGAAGAGAGATTTAGTGACTGGTCAGGATCCAACCTCTAGTTTTGCCAAATGAATGGATGAAAAAAAAAATCAGTATATACAGTTCTGTAATTGTTAAGGAACTTTAATGTAGACAATGTCTATTTGTTTAAAATTTTTACTGTTCCACTATTCTTTTGTAAAGGAGTATATTCTGCCTTGTCCCTTTCCATTCTTTGTTCCATGGCAAAATTAATTATGTTATTTTCAAAATACAATGATTTACATTAAGTTACTTGAATAATTTATGAAGCAGTTCAGCTGGTAGCAGTGTGTTTAGAAGAGCATTTTTATTTAAAGAGCTATTTTAAATTAGTAACTATCAACTAGGATCAACTGTTTAATAACTAAATATCTAAATGGGATTTTAAAAGATTAAAACTGAAATAAAATATATAGATTAGAATAAAAAATTTACTTTCTGGTGGCAAATAAGAATCTATTATGTTACAGAATTTGAGTTCTTATCTTCAAGAAAGACTACCTCATCTGAAGTCAATTTTGACATCACACCTTTTTTGGTATCTTACCATCCTCCAAGAGACAGAGAAAGACAGACAGATAATGTGTGCATGTGCAAACACACAGGTGGTAATCCAGGGGATGTTCCCTTGCTATCTTTCCTTCCACTCTTCAATCTACTATAAAAAGTCCTCCCATTTTCAACACGATTTCTAACCTATTTATAATCAATCACAATCACACTAACATTTTCTAGTCAAGTTTAATGCCTCTTCAACATACCTCACATGTCTGTATCTATTGTCACATCAATCTCTTCTAGTTTGCTTAAGTTCTCCATTTTTAGGATCTAGCTTTAGGTTCCAACTCCTTTATGGAACCCACAAAGATTTTCAGCACACTGACCTCTTTCTTAAGCTTTTATAGCATTTACTGACCAATCAGCTCTCAGCAAGCATTTACTTGGGTAAATTTGCTTTGTTTTTATATTTTCTCCTAAACTGACCTGTAAATCCCTCAAGAGCCAAACTCCTATCTTATACTTGTTTACATCAATATAGGTCTAGGATAGTGCTTTCACAGATAAATATTTGAGGCTGATGACATTATCAAGAATATGCTTACAGTCACATTACAGATGCCTGTGTAATTAGAGTAATAAAGTCTTGATTAATTATGTAATCAAGTGGTATGAAACATGATAAACTTCTTAAAGTCCATTATGTTAGCAATTTATCATAATGAAGTCTGAACTCACCTGTGTTTGGATATCACCATCAGTCATAATATTACAACTGCTCTTAATGCAGATGATACAACTTTATAATGACAGTGCCTAAAAGTAAAAAAACATGAACTTACTATAGGAATTTAACATTTACAGAAGTTTTGCAAAAATAGTAACAATATTCCCATAATACTCTTTACCCAGAGATCCTGCTCAAGTTTCACTAATCATCCCAGTAAAATCTCTGTAACAAAGAATCTAAACCAGATCACATATTGCATCCAGTTGTCATGACTCTCCAGTATCTTTCAATTCAGAACAGTTGCTTTTTCCTTGATTTTCTTGATCTTGACATTTTTGATGACTACAAGCCAATTATTTGGTTTTGTCCAATGTTCCCTCATGATTAATACCCAAGTTATATACTTCTGGCTGGGATATCACAAATGCTACAGTCTTTTTATTACATAGTATTGGACAACATACAGTATTTGTTTTGTTCTGATGCCGAACTCTGGCCACTTAAGATGGGGGTGTCTGCCAGATTTCTCTACTTCAACATTACTGTTTTCTCCTTTGTATTTAATATTTTGTGCATACTATATAAAATCCCATTTCTAAACTCACTTTCACTACTAGTTTTTATTCTCAGTGCTTATTGTCTGAACTATTAATAATCAGTACTGGTGCTAATGATGATTTTTTAATACTATCATTCCAACTATATACCTTTTCTATCATCTATTTATTTTAGTGTGGACTCATGGATTCCAATTTTATTCAATGAATTACTATATATTGCTATCATTTATTTCAAAGCTCAAATCATCCCAGGTTTGACTAGTAGGAGTCCCTTTAACTGGGCTTTTGTATCCTTCTGACATTCCTCTATTCTTGTAGCATTATTTTCTGAGTTCATCTTATTTTTTCTCAGTCCAAGCCCTGCAATTAGCCATTTCTCTAAGAACCCTGGTTCTTGTTAGTGGAGAGTAATGTTTAAAAAACCAAGATTTGGGCATTCACTGTGCTCAGCTTCTTAGTACAATGTGTCAACTGCTCCCAGGACCTTAAAGAGGACACACACACACACACACACACACACAAACATTTACATATACAGTTATTTCTACTTCTCTTTATGAGCTCACTTCAGTACCTCCAATTCTAACCTAATACCCCAAGATTTTTCTGGCTTTCCTGATTTCCATATTTTATCTCCATTCTCTGAGAATAAGAAACTGGCTTCAACTATCATAATCTCCCTACACATGAGCAATTTTTTGATCCAGTTAAGCTGCTATTTCATAGTGTGTTGGCTCCAAGCCCCATTCCACCCATCTTGAGTGGGTGTCATTCTCAAGCATGGGCCATGAATCCCCCATTAGACCTGCCTGCCTACCCTCCTTGCACGAATGTCCCTCATGTTGGGGCCAAATCCCTTATTGGACCTCTCTTCTTTATGCCACTTAACTTGTTTGGGCCTACCTACCAGTTTTGGACAAAAGAAGGAAGATAATACAATTTTTAAAGAAAAGGATGAAAAAATTACAGTATCTTTTTAAAGCAAGTTTTCTTACAAGTTTTTAACTTCTTTGAAAAGAAAATCTGTCTTTTAAAAGAAGATAATATTAATTGCCCAGCAAAAGAAATATATTATTCTTAATACAATGAAATACTTAATGATTTTAACTACATGGATGTTATTATAATGAACAATTAACTAGGTTACTGGTTCTGAGAGAGCAGAAACTATTCTATACATCATTATTTTGTATAATACTCTAGAAGGTAACAGGCATTCTATAAATACTTGTTGAATTAACTCCCTTTCATTCAGAGATTAAAACTAATGAAATTTATTAACAAAATTAGTCCCAAGTAGAGGATATAAGATAAATTTAAGGGTCAACTTTTCAATATTAGAACTATTCTGCAAAGTGGGTTTGGCAGCTTTTCAATACTTCATGAATATAGTGACTCTTGAGATGTATGAGGCCATTATTCTAATTGCTAAATTTAACACATAATCATAGTTATTAAGCATGTATTATAGTTACATCAAAAGTTCTACCAGTCTTTGACTGACTCCAAAATCAATGCCTATTTGGTTTTTTTTTTTTGGAGGGTGTCCCTTTTCTTTATTTTGTATCATTAATATACAATTACATGAGCAACATTGTGGTTACTAGATTCCCCCCATTATCAAGTCCCCACCACATACCGCATTATAGTCACTGTTCATCAGCATAGTAAGATGCTATAGAGTCACTACTTGTCTTCTCTTAGGTATACTGCTTTCCTGTGCACCCCCCCCTTCATTAAGTGTGCTAATCATAATGCCCCTTATTACCCTTATCCCTCCCTCCCTTCCTACCCACCCTCCCCAGTCCCTTTCCCTTTGGTAACTGTTAGTTCATTCTTGATTCTGTGAGTCTGCTGCTGTTGTGTTGCTTGTTTTTGCTTTGTTGTTATGCTCCACAGATGAGTGAAATCATTTGGTACTTGTCTTTCTCTGCCTGGCTTATTTCACTGAGCATAATCCCCTCTAGTTCCATCCATGTTGTTGCAAATGGTAGGATTTTTCTTCTTCTTATGGCTGAATAATACTCCATTGTGTATATGTACCACATCTTCTTCATCCATTCATTTACTGATGGACACTTAGGTTGCTTCCATTTCTTGGCTATTGTAAATAGTGCTGTGATAAACATAGGGGTACATATATCTTTTTGAAACTGGGCTCCTGCATTCTTACAGTAAATTCCTAGGAGTGGAATTCCTGGGTCATGCCTATCTGATTTTTATCATTGGGTCCACCAGAGAGAGAGAAAGCAACCACACACATATAATACAGCTGGGTCACTGCTAAACAAGAATCATGACAGGACATTAAAGCAAGGTAAAACCCGAAGGGAAGGAGTCAGTATTTAAAACTTTTCTCTATGTAAAACCAAGTCTCTTTAGGAAAATACAGAAACTTATTTTAAAACAAAGATATAATGCTGTAAAAATACCAGAGAAAATGATTTATTGTTTTACAATTATGATCAAATATGTAAACATGAAACTGAACATGATTCCTATTACTCTTATACTGAATAAGATATGTGGTAACTTGAAGTTCTTTTAAGTAAGGAAGTATGTATTTGGGATCCTGTCTATGGCTAGACCATAGACAAACACACACCCAAAAAAGGCATATCAAAACTGAAATAAAAATGTTTCAGTTAAGAGGTTAATATAATGATAATAGAATGATCCAACTTAAATGAACCTCACTTATTACATGTACATTATTGGAAATAAATCTAATAATCATCTGAGAAGCAAAGGTGTAGAAAATAAAAAGAAATCTGAGGGATTTTTAAATGGACTAATAAATTTTAATGTTTTGAAATCCTAAATCTTAAAATAAAAAAAAAACACACAAACATATGAAAATAGAGATTTTTAATCCCTTTAGCATTAATAGTACAACTAATTAGTTGTGAGTTTAGCAAGTCACTTTACTTCTTGAGACTCAGTTTCCAAATACGTGAACCAGAGGCTGATACTTCTTTTTGAGACTCAGTTTCCAAATACGTGAACCAGAGGCTGAATTAGGTAAGCTTTATGATCCTTCCTGTCTCAGACAGACCTAGATTCAAATGCTACTTACTAGATATGTGATCATTGTCAGAGTACTTAACATTTTAAAGCCCAATCTCTTCACTTACAAAACAATAATAATGTGGTACTATTAAATTAGTAAGAATGCACGTGTCATCTTAGAACAGTGCCTGGCATATATAGTAAATACTTAAATGTTGGCTCTTTTTATTGCCATGATCAGTATTGCTGTGATCATGCAAACTACACCAACTGTCTTGCCTTCGGGTTTCAGCCTGGCTTTATTCTCATGGTAGTAGGTCAAGCACTAGGATCACGTCTGCATCCAGCAGTCTGCAAGTTCAAAATCCACCTCCATCTCTGCCTCTGCCCAGAGCACAGTGCAGAGCTCTTTATATAGTGAGTCATTTAACAACAGCTCATTGCCAATGGGTGTGGAAGCATTAGCCTAGCAGCAGGCCAATTACATCATCAAGTAATTTAGGGTCAGGTGAGGATCCTGGCCATAGGAACTTCCATTTTATCCAGAATCATTGCACCCATTCTTATAGTGCATGTCCAGTGAAGTGGGTGCCTTGATCACTCTCAAATTACTGTGCTCAGCTGTAGGCTGTAAAGAGATGCTCCAAGCCTCTTTTGGTTGTCCGCTGGTCTGCACAATGCACAGGAAAAGCAACCAGAAGTCCAGTAGCTGTGCCCACACAAGTCATGACATATTGGTACCCTTCCGACATGGGCAAGGACCCAATATAGTCTGCCACCAGATGAGGGGTATTGGCCTTTTAGCTATTGTCCCATGTTGCTGTGGGACTTGGTGTAAATCCCTTTAAGAGTATATGGTGCACTCTTGATGGGCTCTGCCGACTTCTTCAAAGGTCAAAGGCAGGCCTCACCAATGTGCTATAGCTCACATTGTCTTCTACCCGGCATGCAACAAATGATACAACCTTTGGCCACATCAGAGGCAGGCTTTCCTTCTGGCCGACATACCTGGCCCAATTCATCTGATTCATCATTTCCTGGGGATGCCAGTGGCAAATGACCTGTGACATGATATGCTATAACTGTTTTAGCCTGACCAGAGGCCCGTAAGTCTTGCCACAATTCCTGAACCCCAAAGGGTTGGTGACCAACCAACCAGCTGGCATGGTACCATGTTTGTAGCCACAGAGTCAAGCCTCATTGGACAGCCCAACTGTCAGTGTGCACAACCAGCTCCTGGCTGATCACAAGCCACATTGCCTGCTACTCTGTCCATTGACTGCTCTTCCCCTCACCATCTTCCATCCATATTGTCTCAGTCTTAGGATGGAAAACTATAGCCCTCCACTTTCAGGAGCTGTCCGTGGCTGGAGCCATCTGTGTACCATGCATCTTCAGGTATAGGGGCTCTTCCCTCCTGATAAGGGCTCTGTGCTACTAATGGCTCTAAAGCAAATTCTTCCTGCCCTTCACTGGTATATGTCATTGGCCCCAACAAGCGTTGGAGTTCTTCACTC